ATGGGGGTGGGCAGGGGCAGACTGACAACTCATGGGGCCCCCGGGCAATAGGGGATCATGGGGTCCCCGTGTCCTTGCTCAAACTCAAAAAAGCCTATGAAAAAAAAAAAAAAAAAAAAAAAAAACCCCCACACACACCTAATGGGGCATTCGGTGTTTTTTTTTTTGTTTTTTTTTTGCAGCCACTGCTAGGGGCTGGCAGTGGCTGCAAAAATGCCCTGTGGGCATGAGACCTAAATCTGTTCTTGTTCCCTACAATAACTCGAGTCCCCAATTTATTGTCCCATTGCAGCATGTGGGATTTAAAAAACAAACAATGATGCAATAAGTATTGGCATGCATGATCGAAGTGTTGCTGGTGTGAATCTGTAATTTATTTTCCCCATTCCATGACAATATCCATTCTAGGTGCTAAGGAAACACTGGATACTTGCATTCTAATAGTTTAGATAAGGCTCTGATTGTAGGAGAAAACATTCATCATTGTGCAGATTGTATCCCATTTGAGGATCTGTTGAAGACAATGTCATTTGCTCTTATCTTCCGGTTTCTGCAGGATGTGTTATCTCACTTTGTGTCCTGTGTGCACAGGAGATATTGGGATAGGAAATATGCTGCCCTATGGAGGGAGGTGATGGTGGCTCTGGTCAAGTAGACCTTTTGATGCTGAGAACATTAGAGGCTGCAATAAGGAAATTAGACATTTGAGACAATAATAGGGAGATAGTACAATTATCCCACCCACACACTTCCAAAATCTCCTGAGAATGCACAGGTCAAGTAAAGGTTACTGGGAATCCATTGCATGGGATTCTTCCCCGAATATTCATTCCAGTGCTTGCAGGTGGTCTCATCTCCAGAGAGATATATAAATACACAGGATTGATCAATGTAGATAAGAAAGACAGTTGTTTTAAATCAGTTTTGTTTTATACTGACTGCATGGATAAACATTTGGAATGCCATTCGGTATATGAGAAATACTAGGAACTTTTTCCTAGCAATGGACGCATTTCCATGTATAATTTTATACACTTACAGCCATATTTGTTAAGAGGAGTGTTCATTCAAAAGGTGTGATCAATCATGCTGCCGAAAGTAGCGCAACATAAAAAAAAAAAAAAAAAAAAAAAATTATATATATATATATATATAATTATTATACAGGATTTATATAGCGCCAACAGTTTGCTCAGCGCTTTACAATATAACGGGAGACAATACAGCAACAATACAAGAGGGATAGGAGGGCCCTGCTCCTTGGAGCTTTTATATATATATATATATATATATATGTGTGTATATATATATATATATATATATATATATATATATATATATATATATATATATATATATATATATATATATATATATATATATATATATATATATATAGCTACACCAGAGTGCCTCAGGTGTCACAAGCCCTATCTTTTTCTGCTGAAATGCGAGTTACTTGGCGGTTTTATTCAGAATAAATGTTTTATACAATTTTGCACTATGGAGGATCTTTGTGCTTTTATTTCAGGACTATCACCACCCCATGAGTTTTAAAGCATATATACAGCGGTACCTGTCCAGGGGGAATAGCAGATGGTGAAGGAGAGAGCATTGGAGAGTGTGGAGTACCTTTCACCCAGGGGAAGCGTGCAGGGTCCAGGTGTGACCCGTAAGGCTATTTGGCCCCTGTAGGTCACAAAGGGAAGGTGAGCGGGCATGCTAGCCACATAAGGATTGTCACCCACCACTTGCATGTTGATCCATACTCCACAGAGGGAATCACTGTGTGTCACGATTGCATAGGTTGTTTGACACAGTGCACTGTTTTTCACTATTGAAATCCACCTTATTGAATTGGGATGTATATTTGTGTCTAATAGATATTGATGGTGTATCAAATATTATAGCGCTACATCAATATTTAGTATTTGTATGTTTATATCCATTTGAAGGTGAGGATTGGATGTTAGCAGCTGTTTCATATTACACATTATAAACGCAGCAGCGCAGGTGGACATATTATCCATTATATATACACACACACACACACACACACACACACACACACATTAGTGGTTATAGGTTATTGCTCCAAAAAAGTTGCACTCTAATGAAGTGTTACTAAACCCAGGACCCTGTATTCACTATATCTGGTCTCTTACAGTACACACAACATGGAAATGCAATTATTTTAATAAATATAAAACTGCTAAATACCTTTTCTCATCAGCAGTTAGAGCAGTTTTGTGACTCCTATCAGTGTCCAGCCAAGCACTGGATAAAGCTTGTAGGAGTTCTCTAGGAGGATGCAGAACCCCTGACCTCTCTATGGGCAGTGCAGATTGGCCCTGTGCTGATTACATGCACTCTCCCAAGAAAAAAAAAAAAAAAAAAAAAAACCAACAAAAAACACCTCTCTAGCAATACACACCAAACTGAGCATGTGCAGAGCGTCTCCACATGATACGTCTTATCAGGAGATAAGAGGGAGGGGGGGGGGGGTGGAGACACTGGAAGAGAAGACAGGATCAAACATCCTTTTTACACAATGCAGAGGATTAATCCACAGTGAGTATAACAAGCATGCTTTACTGTATATACAGACTGATTTTACAGTTGTGGGTTTAGTAATACTTTAAGGTCAATACTTACTGTATTGGGGCACACTTACATCTACAGTCAGGTAAATACAGATAAGATCTGTTTTCTGGAATTTTTTTTTTTTTTTTTTTTTTTAGCAAAAAACTGTGTTTCGTGCGATGCGGGCTGAAGCCCTGACCCTCTGAGGACGTGCATCGCACGAAACGTGTTAGGGGGGCTACAGCTTATGAACATCTAGCCACTCTATGTGGCCAACATTCTATGGTCAGTAATTTCTTGTTGTTTCACCCTTTTTGACCAATAAACCTTAGTCAAACAGCATCACACTATGTGGCGTCCTTTTTTGGGCTCTCTTTGAGAGCACCATCTCCCACAGTACCTATCTGGACTAAGGAGTACCTTGACGCCTACACGGTTTGATGAATCTTGGTTACTGTTCTTCGCGGTGAGACAGAGGATAGTACGGAGTGCGATCTGACCAGAGCCTTGATGCTGGAGAGATTTTGCAGATTATACTTCTCTACATGCGTTATTTTAACGCACCTCTGGTGAGTGCGCACTCTATTTGCTCCTAGGATTTTTTCACTTCTCTTCAACCACTGATCTGGGATGAGGACTTTATGTGTGCTTTAATATTTCTCACTGATGAGCGCACTGTTCACCATTGTGTCACATCTTTTTTGATCATTGACATTTATACGCATATATACCTTATAGAGATTTTTTGCATTCTGATTCTAGCGCTGCACCCATTTGCTTTTTTTTTTTTTTATTGATCATTGTAAGGTGGGTTGGTTGCCTTTTTTGGTGTTCTAGCTGCTTACATATTTCTGTCTGTAGCGCTCGCTATACCATTTTTACAGTCTCTACACCCACTGCATCTCCATTGCCTAATATAAATTGCCTGCATGCAGCTCCATGAAGCATTAAAAGAAAAAAAAAACCCACACACCACACGCACACACAGTGGGCTGTAGAGAGAACACATATGGAAGGATTGATCTGCATGTACAAGGGTTGTAATAGCACTGATCTCTAGCAGTCTCATATATTGGAGTGGACTTACAGCAAATAGGCTGTTCACTTTGCAAGGGAAGTTGCATTTTGCAAAGGAAATTGCCCCAGAGCTTAGTGAAGGAGGTGAAGCTGCTGACTTCATCATCTGATCATTTGCGGGCATAACGCGCTGCTTTTTTTTTTTGTTATTTTCTTTGCACTTGATTGAGTATTCTTTGCAAAGTAGATCATCACCGAAATTCACTAAGCTCAAGGGCAAACTCCCGTGCAAAGTGCAACTTCCTTTGCAGGGGCGGACTGAGAACTCATGGGGCCCCCGGGCAATAGGGGATCATGGGGCCCCTGTGTCCTTGCCCAAACTCAAAAAAGCCTATGGAAAAAAAAAAAAAAAAAAAAAAAAAAAAAAAAAAAGTGTACTAGGGGCCCACTACTGACCCCGGGCCCTCGGGCAGTGCCCAAGTTTCCAAATGGTCAGTCCGCCCCTGTTCCCTTGTAAAAGACACTGTCCATAGTTGAATAGCAGTTAAAGTGAAACTTCACTCCCTTAATATTTTTTATCCTTATGCTCTTAGCAATAGTAAATAGAAAAGTATAATATATTTACTTGTTTTAAAACTTTTTTTAAAAACACATTTCTTCAGTTACTTCCCGGTTTACATACCTAGGCAAATGTCATATATCCCAGGAGTCTTCAGCAGGGGAAGTGGGGGGGTTTCACAGCTAAGCACATCCTCCTGTCTGCATGCCTGAGCTAAGGACAGATGGATTCCCAGAAATAAATGCTACATAAATTGGCCAGAAATTCTAGGGGGTGTTTTTCAAAATGATTTCTCAGCAAAATAAAGCACAGAAACATGGATGAATGGGCGAGTTTGCTTTGAATATTAAAAATGAATTAAATAGGGTTTTCATTTTGTGGTGCTCAGATGCTGTGTAGTTCCACTTTAAATATTTAAGTCAAGTTACCCCAGGTTCACACCTAAGCATTTTCCGCTTTGCAGAAATGCAGTACAGTCCATTTAACATGTTTTCCTATGGGACATTCACATCTCTGTGTTTTCACCCGGTGCATTTTTTGGAAAGGGTCAGGGATTTTTTGAATGCAAAAAGTTGCATTTTTGGTTCTATAGACTTCGATGGAAATGCTGCAGAAAAGCATGTAGTGCGTTTTTGCTGTGCTTTGCGTTTTAAATCTGCTTAGCAACAAGAGAAAAACAAAAAAAAATAAAAAACGCAAAATGCATCAATAGCGCAGGTGAAAAAACGCAACCTGCATAGGGGTGAACCTAGCCTTAGCGTGTCCAAAAAAAATACAGATCCAGAGCTTCATTGGAATTTTATTATTTTTTTTTTTTAAAGAGATCAGATAGTTTTCTTACCTGATGCACAAAGACATCCACAGGAGTCTCCAGCTCAGCTCCTTCTTTCTTGGTCATTGTGAGGAATCCAAAGCCCATTCTAACATTGAACCATTTACAAATCCCAGATCCTTGAAAGATTTCCGACTCGCCATTTTTAGCAGACTCTGAGGAGTCTTCTACAGGCTTCAAGAACCCTCCTGTAAATATAAAGCAGTTAACTTAGGAAAGAATTTAAACCAAAAGCGAATAGAGCATTAACAAAAAACACAAGACCAATTATACAGACAAGGGAAAATGTCACCAGCACACCGAGGATCACCAATATGGGTCCAAAAGTTTTAATGAACGATCACATAGTTACAGCAAGGTAATGTTTCGGAGTCTCGCAGGACCCCTTCATCAGGAATGTGACCAATTATACAGATAGTTTTGTAAAATTCAAAAAGGGAAAAAAGAGAAGAATAAGAATAATTATTTGACAATAACCATTGATGGAAGCATATTATACTTACCTGCTGTGTGCAATGGTTTTGCAGAGCAGAGCAGCCTGGATCCTCCTCTTCTTGGGTCCCCAGAAGGCTCTCCTGGCTCCTCCTTTCTGTTGGGTGCCCCCACAGCAAGCAGCTTGCTATGGGGGCACCCGTTGCTCCGTATATCCATTCACACGCGAAGCCACGGCTTGGCTCCACCCCCTCTCTCCTTGGTGGCCAACAGGCTGTGATTGACAGCAGCGAGAGCCAATGGCTCCTGCTTGCTGTCTCAGAGGCAGAGATTGGGACAGCCAAGGCTGTTACGCACATCACTGGATCACGATGAGGCTCAGGTAAGTATTGAGAGGGCTGGGGGCACTGCTGCACAGAGGTTTTTTACCTTCATGCATAGAATGCATGAAGGTAAAAAACCTTCAGCCTTTACAACCACTTTAAGTTTGCTGAAGTTCCTTTCAAGTGCCCTGTACACAGACCTGCACAAAGACCACAAGGAATATTACTAAACTACTCCCATATATACACACACCTTGCTTAACCTTAATTTTTAGTGCAGCGATAATGTTCTAAGTGCAGTAAACCATAGCACCCAGTCAAATTTGAGGTTTAATCAGAGCTGTTAAAGATTATTGCTAGCCGATTGCCAAGTAAAATTTGTAAATAGCTTTTTGCTTTATCAACCACTTCAAGTCCGGACACTTGTACTCCCTTCCTGTCCAGGACAATTGCGCGGTCATGCAATACTGTACCCATATGAATTTTTGTAGCTTTTTTTGAGACAGATAAAACTTTAATTTTGGTGGTATTTATTCACCACTGGGATTTTTATTTTTTTTGCTATATAAATGAAAGTCCAAACATTTTGAAAAAAATGTTCTTATAGATTTTGCAAATAAATCTCTCTTCATAAATTTTGGCCAAAATGTATTCAACTATCTTTTTAGTAAAAAAAAAAAAAAAAAAAAAAAAAAAAAAAAAAAAAAAAAAAAAAAAAAAAAAACAAAAAAACAACCCAAATTAGTTTATAACCAAAAATTATAACTTTTTTTACATTGTTATTTTATATTTTGATGATTTTTTTTTACAGGGATTGCTTTTACACCCATAGAGGCTGTAAAAGCAATCATTTCTCCTTTTCTCTGGCTGCATTCTTGCAGCAATTGAGAAATATTGTGTGAGCTGTGATTGGTCACAGCTTGTCACATTGTACAAGGCTGCTGTGAATAGCCTTGTACCATGTGACCTCTGTGATCATTCACAGATTTTACTAGTAGTAAGCAATGATGTCAGAAGTGACATCTTCCAAAGAATCAAAAAGGTATACCGCTCAGGCAAACAATCCAGATCAATCCACAACTGGCTCACCACCACACACGATGCAATAGGAAGAAGGGTCAGCTGCACACCGGAGGATAGATGAATATAGTGTGTATTTATTGATCCATAGGACACAAAAACACCAGGACATGAATACAGGACTTGATAATGCGTTTCACATGACCTCGTGCTCAACCATAACCCAGGGGCAGACTGACAACTCATGGGGCCCCCGGGAAATAGGGGATCATGGGCCCCTGTGTTCTTGCCAAAACTAAAAAAAAAGCCTATGAAAAAAAAAAAAAAAAAAAAAAAAAAAAAAAAAAAAAAATTACCAGGGGCATCTCATAGGGCCCCCTACTGTCCCCAGGCCCTTGGGCAGTGCCCCTGCCATAACCCATAAATAATAAATGGCCAGCAGTTTCCAGTACTGATTGCTTGACAACCGAAGCCCAAACAAAATGTAAAAAATGGCACTATGCAGTTGTCAAGACGTGTTGTATGGCTGTTTAGGGCCTCATTTTTTTTTTTTATAAAAAAAATAAATAAAAAAAAATAAACAAGGGACAAACTATCAATCTGAACCATCACCTGCCAATTTCTTTTTTTAATTCAACTAAATTTAGGCTTTAATATTCATAGAATAATTCTAGGAAGAACTTTTTCATCCGTTTACATTTTTTTTTGCGGAAGAAAAATAGGGTTTTCTTCCGTTCAAAAAAACAGATGTTAATGGATGCAGACATTAAAGGATGTAAAAAGATGTTCATCCGTTTACACCCGCAAGTCCATAGAAATACATGGGGGTCAGGTTTTCATCCATAAACAGATGAAAAACGGACATATGGAACGCCCGTGTGAAAGAGGCCTTAGGTAAAAATGTCAAGTTTTCAGGTTGTCTCAGTGATCCAATTGCTATATTTCTTTCTCAGTCTTTCAACAAGTAAGCAGATAAAAAATTCTGACTTCACTTGCTGGATGCTACTGTAGTTCCAAGTCAGTGACTCAAAGTATTAAAGGCAGAGTTAACCACTAGCAGCTTTATAGTGGATGTAAACCCCAACATACTGTATGCCCAGTGATGTGACTGGTCTCAAGTGAAACACACAAATGAAACACATTCTCCTACATAAGTTGTACCTGTTTATCTGCAGTATTCTTTTTTTACATCCGAACTCCAGAATTTATAAAGCTTGTCTGGAAGTACAGAACAAAAAGCTGGCAGGCAGATAGCTGAAATTACACACTGCAGAGCTGATTGGAGGAAAGGGATACCCCCCCCCCTGCATACAGGCTGAGGCTGTGAAACTCAGACTGCGTGCTGGAGCTCCCTCTCCTGTCACCTTTTTTTCTCTTGGTGCCAGGAAAAGTTGCCAGAAGCGATTTATGCTGATAGAGGAACGAGGCAGCGGACAGAAATTACATTTAATGCGCTGGACAGAGACAAGTATACAATATAGAAGGATATGCTTTGTTCATATTTCATGTCTGAGGTTTACAACCACGTTAATGTTTTTCCCAGTACAGATTTTCTTTCCCAGTACAGATTTTCTTTAAGCGTTTGGATTTAAATATTTTTACGCCAGCAGTGTCAACTCCTAACATCATGGTTAGATGGCATAAACATTAACATATGGCAACATCATTGATTGACCACATCCACTCTATGTGCTGTTTTAGATTTATGAAACAAGCTAGAGCTAATGTGCAGTAATGCAGTGCCTTTTTCTTCTGGTTTTAATGTGTTGGGAGGTCCAAATAAGACAATGGCAACACATCAAAAGGCATATTGGCCTAATGTGAACAACGCATGTCAATAATGCACATCAACACAAAGTAAATCCATGCTGTTGAATGACAACATTTCTTCCTAAAGCTGGCTATGCATGGATTGAAATTCAGCAGGTTTGGTAGGGACAGACGAATCGTGATCCATGTATGGGCAGAGAGATTGTACAGAAGTCAGTCTACTGATCGACTTCTGCACAACCATCCTGTTGCATTTTCCCTGCTCAGTGTTACCAGCTATAGCCGGCTGCGCTGATCAGTGTATTCTGATGGCGGGAAGTCCTCCCACCGTCAGAATAGAATAGCTTGGGATTCCCCAAGCCACCCAGAGTATGCAAAATTCACTATGCGGGTGGCCCAATCAGCCTCCTTCTGCATGACATCCTTCAATTCAAAAATCAAAGGAGCTGAATGAAAAATTTCAGTCAAACAGGGCTGCATCAGACTAGCAGATTTGTCCACCTGAGCTGAATGGAAAAATAAAATCTAAGCATGTATTGACAGCTTATATCTATGTCTCCACTAAGCCTAATCAAATGGATTAATTCTCCTAGAATCAAACTTATTAAATTACACGTGTTTGAATAAGAGAAATCTACCAATATTGGGCAAATAGATCCTCAACATGCTGTAAAATGTCTAGACCAAAAAAACTCAAATATAGTGTATGTATATATATATATATATATAAATAAATAAATAAAAACAGTTTTCGGCCTAAAATTGAATTGTAAACTGTAAAATGTTAAACTGCTCTTACAGTGATCTTGAATTTAGACTGCTCTAAATCAATATAATTTTTGGAAAACTAGACTCCATAGGTGGAGCAATTTTCTTTCTTGCCAGGGGTTGCAGAAAAAAAAAAATAATTTGGATTCTCCCATCAACACAGTTCGTGTTGATGGGAGAAGCCCTTCCTATGCGTTATTACATTCTGCCAGCGGGGAGCCTTCCTTGCTGCCAGAACACAACGATCACTGCTGGCAGCTATAGCCAAGAAATCTGACAGGCTGGGCTTGCTGGTTGTACTGAAGTCAGTCCTTTGCCTTCAGTACAACCAGCAAGCCCATAGATGGATCAAATCTCAACTGGTCCCTGCTGAACCAGCTGAGATTCGATCCATCTGTTGCTGGCTTTAAAATTTTGTGTATGTGTGTCTTAGGGTCTCTGAAAAGTTCATGATGGATCCATTAAAAAAGGTTGAATTATTCAGGCATTTGACACCCTGCAGACTTTTGTATCATTCGTATGGACAATGATATCTAAAGCACAATGAGCAGATAGCTGCATTTATGTACATTTAATGCTGGAGAACATGCCAATTGTACAGGCCAGTTGTCTGCACCATTTACACAAACTGATGACCTGTACATTAAAGCTGAACTCCAGGGATGATATATTTTGCATACATACATTGGGACCAGCTTGGCATATTGCAAATATGCATATGTGATACCAGGGATGGACTGACAACTCATGGGGCCCCCAGGCAATAGGAGATCA